CCCCCCCCCCCCCCCCCCCCCGCGTAGTGCGTAAAATGGTTTCAAGATTCCACGCATCAACCACTCCAATGTTGGCTCCTTGTGATGAAGTGTGTACTTTAGCATATACCCCCCGGCCCTGCGTTTTATTCCTGCCATGAAATCGTCTACCCGGCAACACCCCCCCCCTCCCTTCAAAGGAACGATTGGCCATCGGTGATCGGTCCTGTGGGAACAATGCTCCGTCCTCTCGAGGACGCGTGGTCAATGGTCTAACCGCTAAGNGGCAGCGCTCCCGTTTTACCCAGTATTGGTGATCGTGGCGATGTTCCTCTTCATCGTCTTCCCCATGACCGTCATCGGAGCCATCATCGGCCGCAACACTGCCTCTGACTTCCAGGCCCCATGCAGGACCACCCGCGTTCCTCGCCAGGTTTGGCCGTTTCATTTTGCTACTCGTTTTCGGGGTGATCGTGAGCTGTTGGCGTTGTTGTGCGGAAAGCCTCGGGTTTTTTATTTTTGCAATGCCAGGGTAGAGCACGCTTGTAATGATCAAGAGGTCTGTGCAGGGGGAGTGTCCCTGGCGCTAACGCGGATTTTCCTCATGTATTCAGCATTGTACTTGCTCTTGTCTAGGGCATGAATGAAATTCATTCAAAGATCAGTGGGTAGGAGCTTGGATGCTTGGGCGCTTCGTTTCTGTTGGCATCAGGACGTCCGCAAGTGCCTGGTTTCGCTGCCACACAAACCCCAACCGCTCTCTTTTTGGGAATGGCGGCTACACGTAACTGTTTAATTTATGACGATGGAATGCTGTTGCCGTGAAGGGAACAATAATCCCGCGTGGTTGCTGCGTCCCGTCTGCCGGTGGCGTTCATGGAGCAGGTTCCCAAGGACGTTCCGTGGTACCGCCGGGACGCCTCCCAGATGGTGATGTCGGGCTTCTTGCCTTTCAGCGCGATCTACATCGAGCTGCACTACATTTTCGCCAGCGTGTGGGGGCACCAGATCTACACGTTGTTCGGCATCCTTATCTTGGCGTTCCTCCTGCTGCTCGTTGTGTGCAGCTTCATCACGGTGAGAGCAGCAGGGTGATTCGCTGTGCTTGTGCTTGTGCTTGTGCTTGTGGTTGTCATGGGGGCGCTTGTTTCTGAGGCGGGTGTTGTTGTTGCTGTTGTTGTCGAGTGGTCCACACGGCGCACACGCTTACTTTTCTCCGCAGCACACGTGCACAGCCCCCAGAGCGAGAATGGTCACATGCTTGACCCTGATGTACATCAAACCATGGTCGCGGACCCTCTTCATTCAGGGCGGGTATGTGCCCCGGCCTATTCAATCGCCCAATCACGGGCACGCGCCCGCTTGATTCAAAAGTGAAAATCTGGCGTGATTGGTCTTGTGTGTGTGCCCAGAGTTTTCGCCCGCCCTACACCGGCCATCTGCCCAATAGAGGGACCGCCCACGATAGCGAGCTCACGACGGTATGCCAAGGCTACCGCCGGGTCAGATGGGAAGGGGGCGTACTCATGCTTTTGCATGCCCTAGTTGTTCGACCGTCGACCGCGCGCCCTGGAGAGGACGGAGCGGAGGGTGAGCTTTTGTTGTGCGGCGAATTCTTCCAGTGCCGTCTAAATCTGTCGTCGCTCGTAGACTACTGGCTGGTTGTCCTGCCCTTGTTGTCGATGTACACCCCCCTCTTCATTTTACTGCCCGAATTTTGACCATCGCGGTGCGCCGCCGTGCGGTACGTTGAACTGTTCCAATCCCACCAACCAAAGTCGTGTTGTCCCGCATGCACAGGTGTCCCTGATCTACTTCCAGCTGGGGCGAGAGGACCACCGCTGGTGGTGGCGGAGCTTTTTTTCGGGAGGCTCTACGGGACTGTTCGTCTACGGCTACTCGTTCTTCTACTTCTTCAACCGCTCGCAGATGGACGGCCTTTTGCAGGTGCAGTGCCGCAGGCACCAAGCAACAATGTGTCTGGCACCGTTGTGCTGGTGTTGCTGTAACTGTCGTTGTGCTGGTGTTGCTATAAATGCCGTTGTTGTTGTTGTCGGTGTGTAGCGCTTGCCGCTAGTGCGTGCACTCTTTCTAGTGTCTCTTTTCCCCGCCTTTCTTTTCCGTCACACGTACTTCTAGAATTGATGCTTCCTGGTTTATTCGCGATTCATCGGCTCGTGTTCATCATCGTCGGGCCGAAGGATCGACATGGCGTTAATTAGCACACTCGTTGATTGAATTTGACATGCCATTTGGTTTTCGTAGCGAACATTTTCTTCTTTCGTCGCTGTCCCCCCTCTTGCGAGTTTTCATGTTTTCCCCTTTTTTGTCTGGTCGGCGGTCCACGTCGCACGCGTACCTGAGACGGATTATCTTGGGTTGATTGCCCTGGTTTCTTTCGCGCGCACCCGGCAGTCTTCTTTCTACTTCGGGTACATGGCCGTGATCAGCTACGCGTTCTTCATCATGCTCGGGTTTGTCGGCTTCGTCTCCTCGCTCACCTTCGTGAAGCACATCTACAGCGTCCTCAAGTGCGACTGAGCCGCAAAGCCAAGGGCTTGCTCAAGCGTCGCTCCCACTGACGGGAGGGGGGCATTATTCCGGACAAGCGACAAAAATATCGTCCTGCAGCGTCTCGTTACTGTCACTGCTGTTGTCGGTCTTTTCTTATGTCACCTAGTTTTTTGGTTAGATTGCGGTACCCCGCCTACATAAAGGAAGAAGGTGTCCGCGGCACCTTGCATATTTGCCGCGGCATGATTCGCTTGTAAAATTCGGTGCGGTATAGACTGGGTAGGCCGCCCGCGCCCTCTTGTGCTGAGTCACGGTCTGTGCCTTTCCCCAACCATCAAGAGTGGTGAGCATGGAGACTTACGCTCCTCCGCAGCGGGAATGCACGATTTCACAGCGCGTGGATTCGGAGTGTTGGTAATGTTGTTCTTCGTCGCGGCTTCAAATGACGGGGGAAGCACGGGCTGTATCGTTGTGGCAGCGGTTGCGGTTAGCTTGTAGAGTGGGAGGTGGTCGCGACTGATGACCGCTGGGTCGAGCAAAGAGGCTCCTGTACACAATGACACAGGAGGTGGGGTAAGGTTGGTTGTATGCCGTTGCCGCTCGTCCTCTTGGTGCCGGGGAGGTGCGTGTTCCAGACCACGGAACAGTGAATCGGCTCGAAAATTCTGGATTCCTAAAGAACAAGTTTCATAGGCGTGAAGTAGTTGCTGCGCGTATTTATCTGTCGCTCGTTGTGCCGTGGGCTGTCTGGCTGTGTTATGTTCCTGGGGGCAAGTCTGTTCCTGTCCTACCCTTGATGCCGATGTCGACGCTTTCCAACTTTCACTTCCTGCGCCATTATTTCTACCTGAGACCGACTGCTTCAGTTATGTCTTTTGTGTTTTGTTGTCGCTCCATAAAGCGCGGCGACAGCGGGCAGAGCGTTCGTGGGTGTTACTATCATATTCCACGACGTTGGCCCGTGTTTTGCGCGACCTCTTGTCATGAGCCGCGGGTAGCATCAAGTCCAAATTCGCACGGCTCTACATACACGTTGGTCGAATCCCCACACGTCACTCGTTCAACTCGGACGTTAGCCATCAAGGAGAAAGCCCTGTCTGCCCGGGGAGCAACGTTTTCAGCGACATCGTTAAGCATGCATGCTCGCTACGTAAGAAGCGGAGCTTGGTGCGCCTGTTCCGAAGGTTGATCAACTATCGAATGAATGCTCTTGGCAATATTGATCTTGTTGTCATCCAAAATTTGCGAACGATCAAGCTCTCCCTAATCGTGCTCCACTCCCTTTTAGTTTGTCTTCTGACGGGGCGTCATTCCATACGGGAGAGTAAGGGACGCGCCAATGATGAGACCCATTTCGTCACCTGCGAATGAATCTTGTGGAACACCGGAAGCTTCTGTCTTGAGAATGCCAGGGGGCCCCGAAGATTATTCGTGTTACGTACGTACCCCGAATTGCGATGGCGGGAAGCGAAAGTGCTTGCTATGACTTGTCGCGTGACGGTTTACTAAATTCTTAGATGGGCTGTTGTGATGTGCACCACGGCGAACGGTGAACAACGACTATGGACGTCCGTTGCATAGCTCTACAGCGGGTGTCGGTGAGTGCTGAAGAGTCGCATTTTATATACCACAGTGGGGGCCCCGGTTTAGCGACCCCCTGTTTAGCGACATGCCCTGTTTAGCGACCCCAAAATCTCGTGACACCGCTGCACCCCGGTTTAGCGACCACATGGTCGCTAAACCGGTTGAATCCTCAATAGCGACTTAGGTCTAGACTATTGGGCTGTTTTCAAGGGGCAATAGCGACCACCGGTTCAAATTTTGCGGAGACCCCGCGTTCCTCCACGTATATTGACACAAGACCGCGGGACACGTACACACACACAACATGCCGTGCGCCGATGGAGAGTTGCGCAAACAGCCGGATGTGGAACTGCGGGCACCCCAGGAGCATGCTTGCCAAGGTGCCTGCGGTGTACGCCTGCACCTGATGTGTGGGGAAGTGGAATTTCTCAATGGCATCGAGATGCAACGCACCTGCCACGAGTGTGCATTTTTTAAGAACATGCTATATGCACGCTTCTCCACCCGTCTCGAATCCATAAAACGAACAAGAGAAATAGAGGTAGATGGGGCTGGAGAAGTTGGCGGTGCGGGGGGTGGGGAAGTGATGGCGCCGCCGCCCTACTCGGAGTTATCGCAGCATTTTGGATCGGTTCAAGAGTGTGAGGAGTCGTGGACTAAGCGAGGCAGCGTACCATCTTGGCAAGGCAAAGATGGTGTTCATCGAGGCACACTCCGCGAAACCAGCGCGACAGATGGACATCAGGGACATGTTGAGTTAAACATGATCGGTAACACGCGACAGAAGCGAGTGAAGTCACTACTAGCAGCGCGAGGTTCTTTGCCACTTGGGCGTTCACGGACTCTCTTCGCGCCATGCAGTGTTTAATTATTGTGTTTTGGGGGAAGTTGCCGTACATAGTGAAACGTCACAATATGTGGCGTTCTGCAGCAGCGGAGGTGGCGGTGCTGCTGTAGCTCGTAGGCTTGTAGTGTACCACAGAGGTTACACTGCTGTCACCGCGGTGCTGCTGTATGTAGCTCGTAGACTTGTAGTCTATCATAGAGTTACATTGCTGTGAGATCGGTAGGCCCGAGCAAGCTTCGGAAGGAGAAAAGTCGATAGATGTTCTTATCAACTGATTCCCTGGTCAGGCTTTCTTTGATGGGTGCTAGAAGATGAGAGTGAGCACAAGGGGCGAAGGCGCGCTTGTGTCTCAGCTCAACAACAAAACGAAAAACAGGCAGCAAACATAGCAGGTTCCGAGGGTCTCCGGGGTAATGGCCCGAGTACCGGAATTTCGGGGTTCGCAACAAAAAAACAACTACAGTCTCGCCTGCCAAATTATCTCCGCTACAACTCTGTGCTCATGTTCTCTGCTAAGTACCATCTCTTCTTTCTGTATTATGTCTACGGAAGGCTAGTCGCCGCAGTCGCGCTCATGGTAAACTGTGGCTGACTGCGTGCAGTTTTCCTCGACAAATCGTTTTCCCCTCTTGCGCCATTTTTTTTTCAAATTTCGCAGATCGGACTTCGCAGTCTAGACTACTAGTGTTTGCGTTGTTGGTTTGTTGTTTTTGTTTTTCTCCCATCATCATTGGACTCTCTCTGTCGTCTGCCCCTCTGGCCCCTAATCCTCCTCCTCCACTTACTTCTACCAGCTAGACGACCTAACCGGGGTCACACCGGAGGGGGGGGTTGGACCCCCTCCTGCGGTTCCTGCTTGAGATGTTGTTATCGTGGGAAGGGCACAGCAATTCCTTCCCTCGCGACTTACGAAGTCGGTCAAGGTTACTAACAACATGCTTTGCAGCGCGTCGCTTCCAACGGAGGCCAGGATATAATTTGTGAGAAAACACTCACTCTGTCGGGACTCGAACCCATGACCTGGCCCTTAGCAGGCTGCGAGGCTACCCACTAGACCACCGGGGCGACCGTGTGTGTTTGGTGTTGATCTATCCACATGTATGTGCGTAGGGAGGGACAGATTATTCTGCATGCGCGAACATTAGTCTAACTATATAGACAAAGGGCACCGTCTGTACACTTGTTGTTGAGACATTCCCTACAAACTTCGGAGGGTACAACAAGCATGCTGGTTGGTTGATTGACTAGAATGAATACCGGTTGTCCACCCTAAGGTGTTTCTTCTTTCCTCTACCTTCATGTGACTGCTGCAATACGACGCACTAGAATGATGACCCGATCAAGAATAATATTTCTGCAACAAGGCCTCTTTAGTCCCACCAAATGGCCCTTTTATTTCCCGGTTGACCGCTAGATGCTATTATTGAGGGTCCCGGTTTAAACTGGGTTTTGCGACGACATGCCCTGAATAGCGACCGTATTTCGTCGTGATACTTCTAGGGGTCGCTAAACCGGGCCCCCCACTGTACCACTGTTGTTGCCGGCGCAATCTCCCTTTGCCACTCTCATCCCCCCAAATAACACCTACGGGTTTTAAATTTAGACTATGTATGTGTTGTGTTGTGTTTTCGTCCGATTTATTATGGCGACAGTCCTCCCATTTTTCGTGGTGAGACGTACTACACCTTTCAGCGTATGTTGTAGAGTACTGCATTTTTCAGTGTATTTTTTCGTACAACTACAACCATCCAGGGTCACACAGGAGGGGGTAAACACCAGGGCTTTCTTCTTTTTATTTCTTTTCATGCCCCACTTTCCTCCTGCGGTGCGTACTGAATTTTATTTTTATCGCGAGAAGGACCCAGCCATCCCTTTCCCTCGTCAACGGTGCTAACGTCGAAGTTTGTTACTCACGAGAGCTTGTCAGCTATATTTCGCTTTCACCCGCACATGTCGTAATTTTTTCACCCCATGGGGATTCGAACTCACGACCTCTGCGACTAGCGGATTACGGGCTCACCTCCCATACATAGATAGGGGTCCAAAAAAAGATAATTAAATTATTTCGCGCGAAGCGCGAATTTTTTGGAGAATTTAAAGCATAAAAACACGCTGATTTGGTGCACGTATACAGTTGTTTTGGTGCCCGTACAACACAGTTGTTGCGGTGCACGTCAGCAGTAGAGTTGGCTTTGCTCGTGGAGGTGAGGATAAGCGCTTCTGGGCTTGCTATGCGTAACCTTTTTGGTCGGGATAAACGTACATGTGATTTGGTTTGAAAACAACCTTGTAGCATCAACATCAGAGAGCGCGCGAACAACCACGGCCAAAAAGTAGAGATGGGCGAGGAAACCAACAACTCTGACAATAATGTGGATCACTGCCAATCTATCCTAGACTACTTTCTTGGATAGAGATGGATTCGTTGTGTCGTATTAAGAAAACAAATAAACAACACAACTACAAGTATTGCAATAAATGGTGTTCGGCACTTCGCCCTAATATCCCGGACAATACCGTCACACACTTCATTGTGCACTTACTCACTACTGGTACTAAATGCCATACCGAAACCCAAACACACACGCACCATATTTTCAACCATCCGCTGAGCAACACTTCGCACAATCACACCGGCCGAACAACTTCTGCCCCCGCTGAAGCCTTCCTGTTCTCTCACTCTCCGGCCGACGCTCTCCTGGTGGCACACTGCAAGGCGGGCTCCCCAACTTGTTTCGCGGGTTAGCGTGCGCGCTCTTGTTCGAGCCTTGCTGTTTGCGGTGGCCGCAAGTTGTGCAAATCTGCGGCTCCCGCGGGGGCCCCTTGCGTTTCTTCCCCTTTGCTTGGGTTTGTACCTCAATCCCACCTCCACCAACGTCAAAGCCGCCACCACCAATGCCATCCTCATCGTCATCACCAACGTCCACCATCTCTGAATCATCTTCCCTCAAGTCTTCCCCACCCGCAGCACCCCCTCCTGCAACGACCACACTCCGTGGAACAGCAAGGGGGACACTGACACCGACTAAATCACCAAAAGCCGCACCCTCTTCACCTTCCTGTAGGTGCACACGCAGCGCTGAATGCTGATTGCGCAAAGGCAACATCGTAAATTGAGCGTTAGCACGTTCAAGGAACTTTTGGTGGTACGACTGCAGCTGACCTGAGGTTTTACGATACACTGCTTCAAACTCCACAAGACCAGACTCGATCTTGGCACAATGCTGGTTCCATGCTACGGCCCAGGCATCAAAGTTGATGTTTTGGTAGTTCTGATTCCTCCCCTTTGGCTGCCCCGGCATATAGAGTTGGCTGTTCAGCTCGCTCGCAAATTTCCGTTTCTCTGCTCCAGTATGAACGGGCGTGACCGGCATGCCGGCATGCATCATTTGAGCGTACTTCGCAGAATGCGTGAGCTTTGGCATTGGTACGGCGTTTTGGGCCAACCCTTGCTCGTCAACAAGATCGCTAGGCTCGCTCGGTACGTCCCCACCACTGGCAGGCCCCCACAGGCTCTCAGAAAGGCCGCTCTGCTCACCAGTGTCTGCTGCGTCAAGCGCAGAGACCCATTCAGGAAACAAGGGGCTGTCTGGGTACCAGCTAGCAGTCTCTCGTTGAATTATCTAAATCTCGAATTGATCGAAGAACTCCCCAACCTCCCTTGGTAGGCCGCGGTTCTTCACAGCCATCCCAACATTCCAACGGTAGTTGAACTCGAGAAGAACGGAGTGAGCCAGTGAAGGAGACGCGCAGTAAGTTGAGAGCAGCCTGCGAAGGTAGCGATGATAACCCTTGTAGGGCAAGTGCATGGAGAAGGCCGGGAAAGAAACCAGGGTACATATACACGAAACAAATTACTGACCGCCAAGCGAAGAAACTCAATACCGCCATAAGAGAAGTAGTTCCGATAAGTTTGAAGCATGTTACGTGAAATTGAGTGTTTTTGGCCGCTGCGGCGTTTTTCCGGAAGGGGGGCACGTCACGAATCTCACGAAAAATGGGAAATCTCGGTGATTTTTTCGATTTTTCCGGAAGGCCGACCTTAAATCGCTCGTTGAGTCCATACAGATCCGGGGGGGGCATTTGCTGCACGCATGCTCCTCGTGAAAGATTCGTGGGTAACGTCTGGTTAGGTGCTGTGCTCGTTTTTCGTGGGTTGAGAGAAAATCTGTTGAGAAATGTTGCCAAGGATGCTCTCCCACGCAGGCATACGAGGCGATGGTGAAGCGAGGGTTCTGACATTCACCCTAGGAGGGATCCAATATCTATCGCGTTCATAAAACGGGGGTGCGAATCCTCTGTACCTCCTACGAACCCTTTAACCGTTTGGGGTACCCCTGAGGGATGTTCCCAGTTTTCACCCCTATAAGTTTTTTCAACGCCGTGGCGCATCGAGGCCTAGAGCATCGACAACGGTTGCATTGAAGCGCTCGAGCAATCGTTTCTCCTCCGGCACCAGCCGCCGACAATTCCGAACGAAGAACGTCCAGTTCTTGTCCTTGTACTCAACAACGGCTTCTGGTGTCATTCCCTTGCCGACAAGGGCCTGCTCTACCTGCAGTTTGAAATGGAATTGTACGTCAGTGACGATATACAAACCAGGCGCACGCAATAATATGTGGACATTTGAAGCCTTGTCAAAGTACTGATCCGACCGNGTTGAAGTCGACCCAGGTATGAGATTCGGCTGCGGGCGTCATTCTTGTGCTGGACAAAGGAAGAGTTCGGTACGACCGGTACACTGTATCCACACACCTTTGTTCCGGGTTGCAGCTCCACCGGAGGAGGGAAAAGAATAGGATCCTGAAACTTCGCCACCTCCTGATAAACAAGAACGGACGCGTAAGCATCCAAGCAGGCATACTGCACCTGCAACGGTCACATCAGGGAGTAGCAGAAAGTAGGCATCACCTAACATGACCTGAGTAGGTTAAACAAATGGCGCAAGCGGTAAAGCAGTCGACAAAGAAGAACAAGCGCCACAAAAAAAAATCATTCACTTGCTTGTCAGCGAGGGGAGCACTCCAGCGAGACAAGCGGACGACCGGATCCTTGGGCAACTGTCTCCCAAGCAAGTGAGACGTCATACCCGCCAGTGAACGACACGGGGTCTCCACCCAGCTCTGTCTTGCGCAAGTTCGCAAGTCCACCGTGTTCGCCACTTCGACCCCGTAGTCCTGCTCTAGATACGTCGCGTCCGAATTGATGTTGACGCCGACCTGTAGATGCGAAGTAACAAAAAGCAGGACACAACTTCCCCCGACGGTTGCTCTCAAAAGTAGAAACTTAGTCTGCAACGGTGGATGCGTACCTNTTAGTAGAAAAGTCTGCAACGGTGGATGCGTACCTTTGCAATCGAAGGGTCCTCCAAGAGGTTTTGCAGGGCCTTCGGGAAGCTGGACGCGGTCGTCTTGTTGTTGCCACGATGTTTGCTGTTGCCCTACCGACACATGCTGGCAGCCAGGGCTCCGGGCCAAGGAAAGGGCTCAGGAACTGGGGTCGGATTCTGCTAGCGTGGTCTGGCGAGGCACACAGCACCGGGGCCTCTGGGTTGCCGAAAACACACGTTCCCGGCCTGGGCTGTCGTGTCTTCAGCAANTTGAAGTTGGAAGCAGTAGGCCGTGCCGTCAGGAAGCGACAGCTGAACGGTTGAGACAGGGTTAGGTGTGGTACCGCCCAAGGATGGCTACCACTCGCAATCTAGACCCAACACATTCCCCTGCAGCTGGCAGCCGTTCATAAGGGCCATGACTGCCGGAGCGATAGAGCTAGGTCTGAGGTCAAAAGACGTACACGCCGCTCTTGCCGGGCGGGAAAAGGAGCGGGGGCAACACTTCCACCCCCGGAGCACCCCCTCCCGCCTCTTCAGCTTTGTCGTACAAGCGCGCACCAGTCTCTGACTCTATTTCCTTGAACATGGTAAGCAGCAGTTGTCGATCCTCGCAGCTTTCGTCTGCGCGAGAAAACAAACTGGGAGCGGGGTTAAACATCCGCCTTATGCGGCATAATTCCATGAAACACATGGAAAAAAACACTTGGAAGAGAAACCGGCCGTTACCCAAGGCAACGGAAAAAAACTAAACGCACCGGAGTAGAAGATGACTGGGAGCTTGAACCCATGGCCGATGAAGCGTTTCACGAACATCATGTTCAGGTCATTCTTGAGGTCGTGGACAGATGCAGTTGCCATGGCCTTCGAAAATACAACCTAGACGAAAATACATGCGAAGAAGTTTGGTGTCGCACCTTCCACGAGGACAAAGTTGATAGTGGTGCGTGCTGCATGTGGTACGGTATGGAAACAAAGGAAGGCGTAACAAGAAGCAGCTGTTCACTCCAAAGTTTCTCACCTGGTCGTACTCGTTCATGATGGTGAAAATTCCGTGGACAGGTCGTGCACGGGTCCCGTCTGCGCCAGTCGACAACNAATTCCATGAAACACATGGAAAAAGACACTCGGAAGAGAAACCGGCCGTTACCCAAGGCAACGGAAAAAAACCAAACGCACCGGAGTAGAAGATGACTGGGAGCTTGAACCCATGGCCGACGAAGCGTTTCACAAACATCATCTTCAGGTCATTCTTGAGGTCGTGGACAGATGCAGTTGCCATGGCCTTCGAAAATACAACCTAGACGAAAATACATGCGAAGAAGTTTGGTGTCGCACCTTCCACGAGGACAAAGTTGATAGTGGTGCGTGCTGCATGTGGTACGGTATGGAAACAAAGGAAGGCGTAACAAGAAGCAGCTGTTCACTCCAAAAGTTTCTCACCTGGTCGTACTCGTTCATGATGGTGAAAATTCCGTGGANCGAAGGCGTAACACGAAGCAGCTGTTCACTCCAAAGTTTCTCACCTGGTCGTACTCGTTCATGATGGTGAAAATTCCGTGGACAGGTCGTGCACGGGTCCCGTCTGCGCCAGTCGACAACCGGATTACCTTCGCGTACTTGAAAGAAGCATCTCCTGCTAGTAAACAGCCATCTATGAGCTGGGATCGACGCCGCAGATATTCTTCACGTGTCCACGAGCACCCGTCGTCCCAGTTATTGGATTTTACAGAGGAAACGAACAGAACATGGGGCACAACGGGTGAAGGTCTTGTGTTGCACATATTCATAGCAAGGAACACGGTCGCGGTACACTGTTTATCTATGCTTTCAGGCAGCTCGAGCACGACGTCGTGTTGCAAGAAAAACCATACGCCTGTGTGTCCTACTCGTACATACCTGCACAACCGGGGTTTCGTAGAACCACTTGTGCCAGACGTCTCCCAGGTAGTGAGCCGAAGGGGGCCTGCTGTCGAAACCCGAAGGATCTCCAATGCTGGAGAACTTTGGGATCGTGCCGAGGTCAGAATGGGTGCCAAACATCCCCGTATACTGAGATTTACGGCGATTTGCTAGCGACACGTTCGACCGGAGTTGATTGAAGTACCTCGAATGATACGTGTTCGCAAGCTATTTTGAAGCCGCCTCAAAACCTTTACCCTCAAGGAGGTCGTCTGCGAAGCGGTCAACTACGCGCTTACTGATCGCCGCTTTTTTTGTCAAAACGGACGGAAACTCTTTCGACACGTAGTCATCCATCTTGGCCAAAACTCCAGCATCCCAAAGCACTTCTTGCAGAGGTACCTGCGCGGCAAGCGACACAGGCCAGGTAAAGAAGTACAACTGTATGAGGACTTGGTAATATAAAATAGCGTACGTGCTGTGCAAAATAACGCAAGAAACAGGGAGAGACCGCAAACCGGAAAATTACCTCCTGTCCAGACTACACCGTTACCGCACCTGTATCCGATCAGGTAGCAGACATCGTCCTCCAGAAACACTCGCCGTGGCTCAGTATTCCACCCGTCCGGCTGGGCACGCCCATCACAGTGCGGGCAGGGGATGTGCTCGATACCGTCCCAGATGTACTCAGGCACCCACACGAAAACCTTCTTAAGATAGTAAGCTCCGACCGGTGGTAGACCTGCAAAAGAGTCGGGAAACCAACAAGATGCTGCAGCTTGAAAAACGTGGTGCTGCAGCTTCAAGAACGTGGCATCCTATTTCCTTCCTGATACCTGTGGGCTAGATCCAAATATCATCCACGTACGTGTCGGGTTGCCACAGCAGCAGTACAGTACAGTAGTACCGCCTACCCTAGTTGCAAACAGCAGTACCGCAGTATTTGCAAAACATGCTGTGAACAAGCGACTGACCTGCGCCTTTGTGCAGCGAAGGTAGAGGCGGGTGCGCCCATCCTCCGTTGTAGGGAAAAGGGTTTATCCGCGATACCTTGCCATCCACGTGCTTCCTACATTTCTTGACCGTGTTCTTGACCTCGTCGATCCACGCGGACTGCGGGTGCATACTCGGACAGCTGCTCCCGCTCCCGCTGCCACTACCACTGCTGCTGCTGCCGCCACCACTCCCGCTTCCGCTGGTAGACGAAGTTAAACTTTGTTGAGGTGCGCTGCTGGGCCCCACGGAAGGGGCGGGGGCACTTCGGGATGATATGTTGACAGGACCAGGGGTGGGTGATTCCCGTGAGAACATGGTGTCGATCCTTTGCGTCTTGCGGACGGCTTCCTGTCTTGACGCAGTCCTGTCGTTCGGTCCTGGCCGTTGGGATCCTTTCCTGTTCCTACTACCCGTAGGACGCCCTGGCCCTCGCCGTGCGGCGGAACCCGCCGCGACGACAGGAACAGGTGTGGGGCGTGCTTCGTCTTCAGCGCGTGCTATCCCCCCCTCCGCATTGTAGGGGTTCTGGACCGCAGTAGCGCTCCGGACCACAGGGGTGGGCGTTGGCGCCGCCTGCGATACCGCAAACATGACTGGGTAGAGATACACTAGAAGGCCCGGGATGCATTGCTCGACCGGTGTCTGCAGACCCGACGAGAGCATGAACGGAACAACCCAGAAATACAGCGCATTGGTGTAGTGCCACACGATGTTTGCTGTTGCCCTACCGACACATGCTGGCAGCCAGGGCTCCGGGCCAAGGAAAGGGCTCAGGAACTGGGGTCGGATTCTGCTAGCGTGGTCTGGCGAGGCACACAGCACCGGGGCCTCTGAGTTGCCGAAAATACACGTTGCCGGCCTGGACTGTCGTATCTTCAGCAAGGAGAGATCTAAGGCTCCAAAGAGACCAACCAGCAGGGCGAGGGTGACAACAAATCGCCATGCCTGCATGTTATCGGCCCGCTTCCCGGTGCGGGCCCACTTGTCTGCTCTGCTGCTGAGCTCCTGCTGGTTTCTCGTGTGTTGTCTCGGGTGCTGCTGTGTTGTGGCTGCTATGAAGTCTCTCTGGTGCTGCTGCTGTGCCGTGTCTCTCGGGAGGTTCCTCCATCGGCGGCGTGACCATCGTGGCCATCGCCCAATCAGCTGTGTCTGTCCAACATAATGTCCTACATAGTCGACATGTGATTGGTGGGAGGGCAGCATCTACCCGGCTCTACCCCTCTAAAACATAGATAATTTGTTTTTGTTCTTCCGGTCCAACATAATTTTTGCCCTACGTGTGGGTGCTGTGCCAAAAATCCCGGCTCCTTTTCACGTTTTCGGGGAAAAACGCCTCCATATATGTTCCAGAAAAAACGATCCCGTGAAATGTTCCGTGATTTTTTTGTCGTTAATAATACCCCTTAGACGAAGGAAAACGTTGCGCCGTTCAACGCCGTTCCGCTTTTATTTAAGTGACAATGATTGTTGGTGGTCTCCATGGTTGGAAGGTGGAAAATGCCCATTTGTGGCAAGTTCTGATGTACAGTCGTGGGCGCGGTTTAGCGGTTCCCTGTTTAGCGGGATGCCCTGAATAGCGGTAATAAACTCTCGTGACACGGCTGCACCCCGGCTTAGCGCTAAACCGGTCGTGCCCTCAGTCGCGGATATTGGACATGTTTTCAGCCACCAATAGCGGTTATCGGTTCAATTTTTGCAGGGACCTAGTGCGCCCTATGTTTGCGGCCCACGCCACTTATGTATCGGGTGAGACTGTTTTGGTGATGTATTAACTTCACGAGAGGTAGATGCCCGCTCTTCACTCGGACGAAGGAGGGAGTGCCCCACATGGCAGCTCACACACCAAAAGGGGCCCCGTGAATCATCGCGATGCCCCCTACCAAACAGCAATCTTACCAATCTGCGTGACACCAAATCATCCAGCACATGTATCCAACACCAATGTTCGCAGACCCACGAACACCCTCCCTGCTTCTTCACGCAAGTGACCAACCATTGATGGGGCAAGAACGCCCCCGGATACATCAGAAATCCCAACATGGTAATGTTTGGAGGGGAAACCCGGCGTCCGGGCAAAACCCCTCGAAAAAACCCTACCACCACAAACACCGTCGCTATCACAGCGGATCACAACGGCCGCACTTATTAGAAAGGCCAAGGCGAAGACAAGAACGCGAGGAACTAAGTTCCCCCGGACGATGGTCTCCCAACGCCCTCTACTCCTGCCATTGGTACACAGACCGCAACAGTTGTACGACCTTCCCCGCATGGAAAACATGACCTCTCCCAAGTGCTAGAAACTGCTACAGCTACTCCGGCAAATTCTTCAACTTGCGCCGGTGGTACTGCAGACTACCCCTGCTTAGGGCCTTGGTTAGGAGGTCGGCGTGTTGCTTCGTTGTCGGAACAAATTTGAATGAAATATCCCCCGACCTAAACAATCCGCGGATGAAATGAAATCTCACGTCGATGTGTTTGTGCGACCTGAGCTGAGGGGGTTGTGCACCAACGCTATCGCCCCCTGGTTGTCCTCAAGGACCTGGATGCCGCTACCATTGGTCTCTGGGGCAACAAACGAAAGTCACAGCACGCACAAACAACGCCTCCATGACGCCCTCCCCGGCAGCAATGTATTCGGCTGCCGTCGAAGACAAAGACGATGCTCTGTGTCTTGCTACCATGGCTGACTTTGGTATCTCCAACCGTCGTCGCCCACCCTTACACCGAACGCTTATCCTCCGTGTAGGCGTAGCTAGCGTCTACGTACACGGCCAGCCTTAACCCCGATCCCCGTTGGTAGGTGATGACGAGGTCCCTCATCCCTTTCAAGTAGCCGAGGATGTTCTGGATGGCATCCCAGT